ACAGAGTGTGACAGTGTTTTACAGCGTTTTACAGTGTGTGACAGTGTGTGACAGTGTCACAGAGTGTGACAGTGTGTGACAGTGTGTGACAGTGTGTAAGAGTGTGACAGAGTGTGACAGTGTGTAACAGTGTGTAACAGAGTGTGACAGTGTGTGACAGAGTGTGACAGTGTGACAGTGTGACAGTGTGTGACAGAGTGTAACAGTGTGTGACAGAGTGTGACAGTGTGTGACAGTGTGTTACAGTGTATGACAGTGTGTGACAGTGTGTTACAGTGTGTAACAGAGTGTATCTGTCACATACTGTCACACACTGTTACACACTGTCACACACTGTTACACACTGTCACACTCTGTCACACTCTGTTACACTCTGTCACAGTGTTTGACAGTGTGTGACAGTGTGTAACAGAGTGCTGACGATGCTGACAATGTGGCGGAAAATGCTGACGATGTGACGGTGAATGCTGACGATATGACAGTGTGTGACAGAGTGTAACAGAGTGTGACAGAGTGTAACAGAGTGTGACAGTGTGTAACAGAGTGTGACAGTGTTTTACAGCGTTTTACAGTGTATGACAGTGTGTGACAGTGTGTTACAGTGTTTTACAGTGTATGACAGTGTATGACAGTGTGTTACAGTGTTTTACAGTGTATGACAGTGTGTTACAGTGTTTTACAGTGTATGACAGTGTGTGACGGTGTGTAACATAGTGTGACAGTGTTTTACAGTGTGTGACAGTGGGTGATAATTATCTGAAAATAATCTGATGATTATCTGTGTGTCTCTGTGTGTCTCTGTGTGTCCCTCAGGGGATCCTGGGTTCAGGTTTTGCTCTGAAGGTTCAGGAGCAGCATCGACAGAAACACTTTGAGAAGAGAAGAAATCCAGCAGCTGGACTCATACAGGTGATCTTCCTCCTCCTCTTCTTTATCACTCAGTGAAGACATGTTGACATCATCCAGTCCCATCGTCTCTATCCATCCAGACCAAACGTCCATAAATCCTCTCAGTCGTCATCTTTCAGTTTCCTTCAGGTGACGGTTTCTGTACGTCTCAACAGGAGCTGCTCGCACATCATAATCAGATCACGACTAAACACCGCCAAGTAACAAACGAACTTTCTATACGTTTGGGATTTATAAAAACAAACTGGTGGTAATTCTGAGTCACACGTACGAACAGGAAGTGGAGAAATGAGAAACTGATTTGGACAGAAACATCAAACTGTTCAAATTCACACCATCGTCTAAAATTAATCAAAATATTGTTCTGAAGTTTTATAAATAGTTATGTTCTTACATGTTCCTATGAATGATTAATTTGAGCATTCACCATCAGCCACATCATCAGCATTCACCGCCACATTGTCGGCATTCGCAGCCACATCATCAGCATTCACCGTCACATCGTCAGCATTCACCGCCACATCGTCAGCATTAACCGCCACATCATCAGCATTCACCGTCACATCGTCAGCATTTTCCGCCACGTCGTCAGCATCCACCGTCATATCGTCAGCATTTTCCGC